TCGCTGCTGCCGATGCTGCTGGTCAACTGTCCCTCGACGGCGCTGCTCATCACCACACTGCTCACCAGTTCATTATCCTCTACAAGTCACAGACTTCATCCGGTGGTGCAGCTGCTGACGGTGGCGGTCCTCCTCGAGCAGTTCCTAAGCATCTTTCTCGCCCACCTCTTGCTGGCAAACCTCAATGGTCACCTAAGAACACTAGCTCGCCGGTACATTTCACTTGCCTTCTCTGGTGATCAGTTCTCTGGTGGTGATTACGGGCAGCTGTTGCACGAAAAACAAAAAACGAAACATCCTCAACGGGAGCGACTGCTCAGCTGTCTTTTTCAGGAGCGATTTCACAACAGAAAGCCGACCGGTTTCACTTACTTCACCTTCGGATACATCTCTCGTCTCAATTTTGTCAAAGTGAGGGAACAGAGTAGTGGTGATATAGTTCTCTGACATTGTATAACGGTTCCTTTTTTCCCTTTCAGTACCTTTTGCTCTACTCAGAGCTGTTCATGTTCGTCTACCATGCAGGTTTCTGAAACTGAAAGACTTCTACTAAATAAAATCGTTGAGATCGTTTAGTCACACTACAATATCTGTTGCTCTACTTAAAATTGTTTCAATGTGTCTTTTCAGCATTAAAAAATATTTAAGTATCTGTACTTTTTTATTCTTTTCTGAAAATTACAAAATGTTAATTATTAAGTAATTTCCTGCTGTTCTTTAAATGAACGCAACTGCAAATTTGCAAAAAAAAGTTTAGAATATTAGAGATTTTCCAATATTTGTAATTGTCACAAATGGGAGAAAATGAACCCATTTTCACCGGCGACGAAAGGATACTGAATAATAGTATCGAGAAAGAAAAGGACAATTAAAATAGGGCTTGCAATTTGTCATTGCAAGCCCTTAATTAAACTGTAAAAAACCAAAATACCTTAAAGCACACACCAACTACCGCTCTCACTATTTGTAAATGACTTGACTTTGGTTAACTGATCTTAAAGCTTTTAAACTTTTAAAACTAAGCAAGCAATCAACTCAAAAATGGACCTCATTATCCAGCAGCCAATTACCTACAAGTCGCTGGATTTTACGCAGCAGTACCTGCGAGCGTACTTCTCTCTTACGGGAGGGCAAAAGTGGCGCCGTTTTCGTCCACTTTTCCTCGTGCTCACCTTCAAATCAGTCAATCACCTGCTTCTGTCGGTCTACGAACCGCCCACCACCATGCTGATGTTGCTCAGCAATGACTTCCTCCGCCTGACCCATCTTCCGCCGGCTACTAATCTAGTGGCGGTGGGCACGCTGGCTATCTCCGGCTACTACCTCTACATGATCTACTTGGAGACGATGCACACAGCGATGGACTTTTTTGCCGAGGTGATGGACGACCGAAGGCGGACCACCACCTTTCTGATCTCAAGGTACATGCCTGGAAAAAGAGGACAGACAGTTTCACAGTATCTCAAGCAGTACTGCTTCATCGTACTGAACGCCCTGCAAGTCTTCATTTTGTCAATAGGTAAGTGTCGCTTGGCATTTGTTTTCGTATTTCCTAACACTAAACCTTTTACTCTCTTCACTTGCAGACTTTTTCGTTCTCGTGTCTCAATTTTACGGAGTTCGGGCGGTGATTCGGTTGCCGCTGTCACCAGCAGCACTGGTGGCAACCTTGGTCGTCACCGAACTAAACATTTTCACGCTGTACACGGCGCTGTACATCTTCAGCCTCTCGCATATGCTCCTCGCAATGCTCGGCTTCACACTGATGAAGGCGGTCAGTGTGCTGCTGGGGCAGCTGCAGCAGTTGCTGCTGCTAGCTGGCCGAAAAGTTGAACGGAAAAAGTTGGTCACCAGCAGCAGCAGAAAATTCCGCCGAGAGTACACTCGGGTGGTGATCTTCTTTAGTAGGAACAACGGGTACACCGCCAAATCGCTGCTGCCGATGCTGCTGGTCAACTGTCCCTCGACGGAGCTTCTCATCAGCATACTGCTCACCAGTTCATCCTCCTCCTCCCTCCCTACAGCAAGCTCTCATAGTCACAGACTTCATCCGGTGGTGCAGCTGATAGCGGTGATAGTCCTCCTTGCGCTGTTTGTCAGCATCTTTCTCGTTCATCTCCTGCTGTCCAACCTCAACGGTCACCTGAGAGCCCTAGCTCGTCGGTACATTTCACTCGCCTTCACTGGTGACCACTGTGGTGTACAACTGAACAAACAAAAAGCAAAACATCCTCAACGGGAGCGGCTGCTCAGCTGTCTCTTTCAGGAGCGATTTCACAGCAGAAAGCCGACCGGCTTCACCTACTTCACCTTCGGGTATCTCTCTCGCTTCAACTTTGTCAAAGTAAGGAAACGGGAAACAATAATTCTCTCACATTGTATAACGGTTTCGTTTTCCCTTTCAGTACCTTTTGTTCTACTCTGAGCTGTTCATGTTTGTCTACCAAACGGGATTCTGAGAGACTGAAAGACTTCATTTAAAATAAAATCTAGAGTTTATGTGTGCGAATTCTTTGTACAGTGTTGAGATCGTTTGGTGGTGGTAGTCATCAAGTGGTTAAGACACTACTCAAGTGTGATAAGCTCATAGTCAACAGCAGATTTCTGAGTGTTTTCTCCATTGGTGGTCACCTTCGACTTACCTTGATCATCTGATTTGAGTGTGCGCTTGCGTTTGCTGGCCACCGCCTCCATCTGCTCTGGACTGTCATCTCCTTCGGTAGTGCTTGCTCGTTTGGCGCTTTGCTTTCCACCTGACTTCTTCGTTGTTGACGAGGATGAGGGTGGGAGCCAGTATCGAATCGGCTGCTGCGGTCCTCCTCCTCCCTTCATCAGCCAACTGGAAGGACCGGCGGTGACGTAAGATATAGTGGAGTAGGGCGTAAAGTGAAACTCCTCCTTGAGGTAGCCGTCGACGAGCAGGCAGGCGACTATCGTCTGCGCCGCCTCCCTCGAGTGTCGACAGATTACTAGACTCTCCGGGCGAAGGCGCTTCTCGCCTTTGCCGAACCAAAGGTCCAGCAGCTTGGGAAAGGTGAGCTTCCGGTCCTGGCGGGTGGCCACGTAGGCGAGAAGGTTCATCAGGTCGGCGACGTCCTCGGTGACGTCCACCTCGACGAGCTGGCCATTGCCATCGCCATCGCCATCACCACCGGTAGCGCAGTTGTCGCACCGGTCGCCGCACTGGTGCGCCCAGCTGTCGCCAAAGTAGTCGGCAATCTGCCGCTTGCGACAGGCGCGCCGGTTGAAGCAGTACGCCATCATCGCGTAGATGTTCTGCAGGCCGTGCCGCTCGGTGAAGGTCAGCGAGGAGACGCGAAAGACGTCGGCGAACTTGAGGTAGAGGATGCAGTGGGCGGGGCGCCCATCTCGGCCCGCCCTCCCCGTCTCCTGGTAGTAGTTTTCAAAGGACTTGGAGAGGGTGTAGTGGAGGACGAAGCGGACGGAATTTTTGTTGATGCCCATGCCGAAGGCGACGGTGGCGACGATCACCTGCACCTGGTCGGTGAACCAGCGCAGGTAGGCGCGCTTTCGCGCCTCCGAGCTCAGCTGAGCGTGGTAGGGCATCGCCTTGACGCCGCCGGCGTTCAGCTTTTCAGTCACTTCTTCGACTTCTTTAATGCTCAGGCAGTAGACCAAGCCCGACTGGCCGGGGAAGCGGCGGCGAATGGTGCCCACCATCCGCTCCGCCAGCTCCTCCTTCTTCAGCTCGTCCACCCGTTCGACGGCGTAGCGGAGGTTGTCCCGGAAGAAGGAGTCCTTCAGCACGTAGCAGCC